TGGAGGAGGAGGAGCACCCGAACCCCTTGGGCAGCCAAGGGTGAGGGTGTGTCCAAGGCCCCCAGTGGGCTGTGCCCTCGTGGCCCGTAGGCAGTTCTGTGGCAGGGTTCGTCAGTAGGTTAGGGGTCGTACCTTATTTAGTAGTTTCCTTTTAGTAGTTTTTCTTTTTTATTATTCTTGCTACACAACAAAACACAAATAATTATTAAATTTACCACTCTACGAATAACTGTGAGCAATAATAATAAAAAAGAAAAACTACTAAAAGGAAACTACTAAATAAGGTACGGCCCCTAACCTACTGACGAACCCTGCCAGAGAACTGCCTACGGGCCACGAGGGTACAGCCCACTGGGGGCCTTGGACACACCCTCACCCTTGGCTGCCCAAGGGGTTCGGGTGCTCCTCCTCCTCCAGTGGTTACCTGGGATGTCCTTGTCCGGAGGCAGTAGTGCTTGCTGTCGAGTACGGCTCCTTGATATTGAAGTGTCGCCATGATAGTCGGATAGTGAAGTTGGCACGAGACGACGAGCGAAGGAGCGACCAGTCGATACGGCGGCAGACGTCGAAGTGAGAGAGAAGCCAGAGTCGGCGGCGACTCTGCATCCCTAGCGGCTTCCAGAGTGTTCGACCGTAGCCGCTAAGCGCGCCAGGACCGCCGCGCGCCCCATAACGCGACCCTTTAAAAAGAGTCGTACGGAAGTCACGACACTGTGGTTATCAGTGCAGTAGTAGTATTTAGCAGCATCCCTCTGCAGTGCTATTTAACAAATAGTGAAACCGTTTCTCCACTCACATCTGCTTTTGACTGCGCTAACGACTTTCCTCCTTGAGGAATCGTATGCAGTTTAGTTCATGGTCACGTTAGAAGGTCAGTTCTCTTTGCCAATTACATGTTCAGCAAGGAGCTCTGCTGATGCGTAAGGTGCAAAAAGAGTGCAAGGACTTCACCCTTGACCACTCGGCCCTCCCTCCATCTCGGGAACTTTTTCCAATAGCCAAGATTGTGTAGGGATGTTGGCTACTCACTTATGGTTACGTTCGATGCTCTGTTCAGAGAGTTGAGTAAACGATCATTACTCTGTGCTGATGGCCGACCAATATGCTGCCTATCTTCAAATAAATACCCCACCTTCCTAGCGCAGGCATAACGGGACACTGTGCTACGGGAAGCGACATCCTTCTCGAGGACAACACGAGTGTCAGCTCCTCGACTGGGACGGAGTGGCCCCACAGGTTTCATTGACTTCAGTCTTGTTCGCTATGTATGGAGGAGGTGTCAGTTAGGCTGGTTTTGGCGGGCCGCCAGCCCGTCTGCTAAAGCGGGTAGTGAGAAAAAACGGTTAATACGAACGATATTATGGTCTTGTTGCTTGCCGAAAAAAAAAACCAAGCGCCAAATTAGTTCCACCTTAAGGCACCCCCATGATCTCCAGCGCACAAGACCACAGAAAACATTGAAACGAACCTTGACCCTCGTGGGGCATGTGGTTTCGAAATCTTAAACCAAGCGGTGGCCCGCGCCTCTAGAGAAAGTTCAAAGAACCCTCTCAAGTAATGAGTGGCAAAAGATTTGAGGTATATTTCATTTTTTTCTGTAGAATAATTTGTGATACTAAAAACATGGATTCTGTATGTTGGCCCTGAGCTTGTTGAGACTATTTTCAGAATTATGTATTTTCATTTTTCATTATCATTGCATTATTTATTTTTCATTAAGACATAGTTCTGAAATAATGCAGTTGTGTTTCAGACAACTTATTGAAAGACAAAGAGAGAATCTTCTGAATACCGAGCTAACTCTACCATCTGATGCGGATCGTGAATTTCTTCAACTTCAACGTCAACAGGTTTGTCATCACATTGACTGTTGTGGATAGTCCTTTGTGAGCTCTTAATAAGAGTTTTGACATTATAGGTGTCAACGGGACTCTGCTCTGATTGAGATTTCTTTTTCTTGTTAGAAGGCTTACGCCTATTGCAGTAACTACTTGGAATTTATGAGTAGGAGTAGGCCCTCCATCTTTTCTCTCGATCCCAACCAAGTCAATTCGACGGATTTGGAAAAGACAAGGGTAGACAAGTGTCCGATGTAAATCTACACATCTACAGTCCTCATCATTGCGGACCGGTGGGGCGTGTCAGCCAGTATGAGTGTGCACACTGTTGAAGCCGTTCTCAGCCTTTTTGTTGAAACGCGTATGCGACAAAAAGTGGTAGAAAACGAGTAATACGGAGGATATAATACAGTAATGTCACTTGCCCGCTTCAACAACTGGTGCAGAACGACTTTGGCCCCGCGCCAAACGCAGCCGCACTGAACCGCCCCGACAGTACGTAATGATGAGGACTGTACGGTTGCCGCGTTACTTAATGCGGGAAGTACTTCGGTGTAACTCGAACAGTGAGGTGACCTTTTTTGTACCCCTCCCCGCGCTCTCCACCCCTCTATGGGTGTTCCTGGGTATGTCTGTACTGCAAAGGAGTTCATGGGCAAAACTTTTCTGCAGTACTCCTGATGATCAGTAAGAGTGTATGTACAGGGGGGGGGGCAAAAAAAAAGTCATTCCGGCCGAGTCACATATGAGCGAAGTTTTCGCAGCCCAGACAGAGGAAGTGGATATGAGTACCAGGGCGGAAGATACCCAAGATCTTCCTCTATAAGCAGGAGCCGGCTGCCGCCATTCACCTTCATGTACACCAAAATATGAAGTCATCTCCAGTCGCGGCCTGAGTGGAGAACGCCTTTGGAATTCACGTGGCCTCCAAACAGCTGCGGAACTTCTTGAATGGAATCACCCATGGATAGCTACCTGGAGACCAGTACTCTTGATCTGCAAGACCTCAAACATCGAGCAGCTCCGGCAACGTCGCTACGGTCCAGGACATCATCTTCACCCCATTCACCAAGGCGCGGGTTGATGGTGTGGACCGGCCGTACCTGGAATGGATGAACCGATATTTTCTTCGTGGGCCCCAGACTGAGGGTGTGCGCTGGTGGCTACATCGAGCAACTCGAGGAGAATATCCCATCTTCATGTCGTCGCCCGTACCTTCTTGGAAACTTTGTACTGCTACAGGATTGGGTGACAACACATTTAATCGAAGGGCGTTGGAAAAACTTTCGCCTACTTGGAATGGAAGAACGTTGAGTACCTGGAAAAGATGGAGTATTTAAGCGGGGGTCCTGAACTAAACCCCCTCAATTACTCGGTTCGGGCGGAGCTCAACAGGGTGGTCTACAGTGGCGGAGAAATCAACGATCTCGCTCAACTCCGGTATTATTATAGTATTTAATGTGCTCTTTAATATGGTAGTAAAAATGTCCGATAAAAATTTAATAAAGTGTAACTTATAGCGCCTTGAAAGTCATTTGACTTTTTTTGCCCCCCCCCCCTGTATATCCGTGACAGTTGAGTGTTTTCTATTTTGTAGTGACAATAAGCTACCATGGATTTTAGGAAAATCTGCGCAACATCCTGACTCCAATGAGGGAATCAAACTGGCCTCAACAGTACCAAAAGCAGTTGAAACAATCGCACAAGCTGCGTGCGGCTATCGAAGCGACGAAAGAGGCTATTGATAAAACGATGAGGTTATTAGATGTTTTTTACGGCTTCTGTCCCACTGTTTCAGTTTTTTTTTCGCAGTTATGTGTTGATCGGTTTTTGGATGTGGTGGGTTGCTTTCGCTCCCAGCGCTAGTTACGCCAAAATTCTTTTGACTGTGGGTATGCTCCCCTAGACTGCGTTCATACTTTGCGGTAGCGTCCACCAGCGTTCCTAGCATGCGGCAGGGTCAACGAGTAGGGAAGTGTGGATATTGAGCTAGCATCTGCCAGCGCCTGCTGGCGCCTACCAGCGTCCACAAGTGACCAGCGCGTCTTGAGGGCTGGAGGAGTAAGGTATCGATCTAGCGCCTGCCAGCACCCACCAGCGACCAGCAGCAGACTGCTAGTGGATAGTATGGGAAGATAGTAGGGCACCAGCTGTCAGCTACCCTCCTATCTACCCATACCCGGCTGTCTGTCATCCTCTATCGCCCCATTCTCTCCACTCCCATACGCTGGCAGGCGCTAAATCGATGCCGAAACTTCCCTAGCGCTCGATACGCTGCTGCTCGCAGATGACGCTGGCAGACCCCAGATCGATATCTACACTTTCCTACTCGCTGACGCTACCGAAAGCTCCTAAGGCTGGTAGACGCTGCCACATAGTATGAACGCAGCCTAACTCGGTTCAGAGGGATCCGCAACGAGTTTCGTAATCACCGTCCAGAGACACAGAAGTCAGTATTATACCTTTAGTCTCAAGCGATTACCTCGGCTTACATGCTTCCCGGGGTTGACTTGGCCAGCGCTGTTCCTCATAAGTTTTGCAGTTGACAGTTGTTCGATTGCTCACGGTTTCTTATGAAGCATATTTGCATCCCAGACGCTCATTTAATTTCTCAAATGGCTTCTAGATATTTTTTGCAGGGCGTGTCGTTCTGATATGTTGCCTAAAGGTTGCGTTGGATTCATCATTAGACAAATGCTGAGCAAACCTTACAGTACAGGGTACTTCAAAACCATAGCTTGCTGCGAATCTGCTCTATCTGTTTGATTTCGTGCTGGTCTGGCATGGATGTGATGATAAAGAAGCCCAGCCATTCATATTCGACATCTAGAATCACCTCCAAAGAAACCTCGCAAAATTCAGTTGAACTCACCGGACACCGAATCTCATTGAGAAGGAGCCTAGAGCGTCAGTGGGTGGAGACCATTGAAGACACATGGTACGCTCACACAATTGAGGGTGTATGAGACTATCAGCCCCCCAGCTGTCGATGTGTCGTGGTCCCCCCGCCCAAAACTGCACGGGGTCAGAGTACGGGGCCGTGGGAAAGTCGTAATTCCTTGCTACACCGCCCATTTCGCAAACTCACGTTTATGCTAACACCGTCCGCGTCGCGTGCAGCTCTCTTGGCTTTTTGCCAAGTCCTGTAATTGCGCTTTGGAATACAAGTACAACGCAATTTCTTTATGCGGATAACATTTTAGGTGCTGCAAAATAAGAACCGAAGATGATGACGAGGGCTAGAACTCAAGAGCAACTGTGCTGCTTCTGCAACATTCCTCAGAGGCCGCGCATTCCCACAGAACATGACAATAAAAACGGACAACATGACAATAAAACATGACAATACAAGCAAAACGCAATTTCCTAACATTTGAGGTATTGCTCATGCTTCAAAGTCCGAATAGAAGGTGATGAAGATGACAAAGGCTAGAAATGAACAACAACGAATGTAGATGTAAATAAAACAAAATTGAAAAAACTAAGGAAACGCAAATTAATTAAAATCGCGTGTGCATTTCTGCGATCCGGCTCGAATCCGGCTCCAAAGCCATAGAAATACTTTAAACTAACGAGTGGGACGCTTAGGCCGTTTTTATTTTCATGTTTCGTGGAAATGCGCGGCCTCCGAGGAATATTGCAGAAGCAGCACAGTTGCTCTTGAGTTCTAGCCCTCGTCATCATCTTCGGTCCTTATTTTGCAGCACCTAAAATGTTATCCGCATAAAGGAAATTGCGTTTTACTTGTATTCCAAAGCGCAATTACAGGACTTGGCAAAAAGCCAAGAGAGCTGCACGCGACCGCGCCGCGCGGATGTGTTAGCATAAACGTGAGTTTGCGAAATGGGCGGTGTAGCAAGGAATTACGACTTTCCCACGGCCCGTACTCTGACCCCGTGCAGTTTTGGGCGGGGGACCACGACACATCGACAGCTGGGGGCTGATAGTCTCATACACCCTCAATGTGTTGTGAGCGTACTATGTGTCTTTAACACATACAGTCGCGGCAAAAAAAAAAACTTGGAACAAGCCCAAGTCGCGCGCTTTTAATAGTTTTACATACAATTTTAAATTGCACATGAAAACTTTGTTTGCTGAAATCAAGTACGCCTGAAAAGGCTATTCTAAAAAATAAAGTTGGTTGATTAAATTCGTTACCGGGACAGAATTTTGAATATTATCGCGATGCGGCTTGCCGCTGCCACTCTGATATTGGACCGGTTTTCAGAGTTCTAATGCTTTGGGAACAACATAGGTTTCTCGAGAGTTGTAAAAAAGAAATGGAAAAAACGAAGGAACACTCAGACAGGTGTGATCTTCTTCCGATGGATTGCAAAGCATTAGAAACTTTGAAAACCGGTCCAATATCAGAGTAGCAGCGGCATGCCGTATCGCAATAATCTCCAAAATTCTGTCCCTGTAACTAATCTAATCAACAAACTTTATTTTTTGGAATAGCATTTTAAGGCGTACTTTGTTTGAGCAAACAAAGTTTTCATGTGCAATTTAAAAATTGTATGTAAAACTATTAAAAAGCGCGCGACTTGGGCTTGTTCCAAGTTTTTTTTGCCGCTACTGTAGCCTATTCGTAATCCATAGCTCCTTTCCATGCCTTATGGTGGCGAAAATGGTGCACTGCTGCAGCCGCGTCTTAGGCGTGCTACGCAAACACACGGAATCTCACATAAATAATTCCTCCTCCTAGAAAATCGTGTGACTTTGAGCGAGGTATTCCTCATAATTCAGCATTTTTGTGATATGTATTGCGGAGCGCTCCTCTGTTTCATTTCACAATAGGCTTGTTGTGACATGTGATACAATTGCGTGTGAATTTCAGTGATATTGAAAACGTCCGACTCCAAGAACAGGAGCTACAGAAGAGATTGACTGAGCTGAACGATCCTTCGTCGACACCACAACGGGCAGCTGCATCGCTTCCGATCAGCTCGTCGTCACCATCACCAAAACTGAAGGCTTGCTAACCTTTTCCATTCTCATAGCCATTCAAATCATAGAAATCAGGAATCTCATTGGATTATTTGCTTTTCATATCTTGTGCACTTTTCTCTGCCTTACACAGTATTTACTTTGTGATTGTGTATGGTACTGCATGATGTAAATTTAGCATTTTCTTAAAGTACTAACCCCCTTCAGGACGTTGAATTTAGGCGAAGCACGTTCCGTGAGGCAACCGTAGTAGTTAGAAAATCGCGATTATTCTTTCGGAATTTCCCTTCGCAAGCAGAAGACCCTTGATTCTTTTCAATCATATGTATGCTTTATCAGTCGGATTGCCCGACGAAACCGGGCGATCTTCCTTTTTCGGTGCAGTGGGTCTTCCTTCTGACATTTTCAGGAGAGAGCCAGTCTGATCGCCCGACAAAGCCGTGCGTTCTTCCTTCTTC